ATATATATATATATATATATTTATACATCGATCTTTATGTATGTTTGTAGATACAAATTTTATATTCATACATGAAAAATTGTTTACCCGAATTAATACCGTATATAAGTTTTGTAACCTTGAACATCAAAATTCTTTAAAAAGCAGCAATGTAATATTTATTCCAAATGCCCATTAGACTTATATTTTTTATCTAGATTGTTTACAATCGTATGCATGAACTGCATAAGATCTGTTCCGTTTCTCTATGCGCTGCATGCACATGGGAAAAAAGAACCGAGTTAATGCGCGCATAGGATGCGTTGCATTCCATGCGATCCATACGTGAAACGGAACGCACCCCTAGATTATTCTAAATGTGTGACGAACAATGCAACACTTTGAGCAAAATAAAAATATGCATGCGTCTTCCTTTTGAAACTTTTGAAAGAAAAGATAATCTCTTTTTTTGCATTTTTTAGAAATAAAAAATTTTTTTTTAGAATTTTCTATATATGTGAATTTTTTAAAATACTAAGGTTTTTATGAGTTCTCATTTTATAATTTCTGAAAACATCTCAAATTTTTTTTTAGATTTTGTAAGATTTTATCAGAATTGTAAAATAAGAAATTTTAGAATATTTTAGAATTTACATATATAAAGAATTCTTATAGTATAAAAAAAATCTGAAAAATTTTCTAAAAAGTTAAAAAATTATTCAGAAATTCAGAAATTTATATAAAAATTTGAAAAATTATATAAAAAATTCAGAGAAAAATATTTTTATATTACTCTGATAAACATTTTTCTCAGAATTTTCAATATAATTTTTCTGAATTTTTATATAAATTTCAGTAAAAATTTATGTCATGTTTTAGACAGTCACATTGTGACGGCATGTTGTGCTCTATTTTTGCTGTAGTTTTGCTGTCAGTATTTGATATAGTAACTCGTGCCATAGTCTCGTCACGATTTCGCTGTCACAATGTGACGTCAAATCATGTTTGATTTCTGATGTCTTTTTGCTTTTAGTATTTGAAATGGCAAACTTTGCTCAATATTTGCTACGTATTTGCCGTAATGAAGATACTTATAACAAAGAATGCTCAATTTCTATTGCATTTCTACAGTCATTCTATGTTGGCAGATTATGCTGTTAGAAATTAAGCTTAACGAGGAAGCAGCAGCTTGATATCTGCTGTAACGTCATGATCAAGTTTGCTGGCATACTGCTGGCATATTGCTAACATTTTGCTATCTGGGATTATGATATAAATGCTATAATTATGAGACTACTAGTGAAATATATAATAATACCTTCATTATTAATTGTATCATCTTTTTATTAGACTAATTTAGAATTTTTTAATTAAAGTACACGCTTGTAAATCATTGAGCACTATCGGCTGGTTGAAGATCAGCTAAGAAGGCATTATACTGATCCATAATGCTCGATTCTTCAGATGTATTGGTCTTATCATCATATTGCGAACCGACAGTCCATAGAGTCTCCAAGTCGTAATGTTCTCTAGCAGAGCCAGATAAAATATGGAGAGCGATATTCCCTACAATACAAACAACGCACAATTTTGTAAATTGCTCTAATAAATGCGAAATTATTTTATAGCTATTAATGTTATCTATATACTTCAATTATTTATGATAAGTAGTAAGCTTGTGGAGAGCTTATAATACTTAACATATAGTGATCATATATAGAATGATACATAGACTGTCTCTAATTATTTTTCAACATTTTGATGAGTAATCTAAAAACAAGATGAAAATAATTATATTGTGTAAATACATAATATAATTATGATTTTCTTATATTTTTTATCTCATTTCTAGATTATCTTATTTTTATATTTCTAAACAAAACGTTGAAAAATAATTAAAGATATTTGTGTAAATTTATACAAATAGTATATAATTATATAATATATATAATTTTATTACTCATTGATTAGAAACTTTTGGTAACCATTGTATATATTGAGAATTGTAAGTTATTAAAACATAAAATATAATTTCCTAATTCAAATATATTACCTAAATCCAAGGCCATCCAATCCTTTGACTTCTCCCCCTCGATTTTAGGTATTAACTCGTTTTGATATCTTTTCAGTTTGTAAACCTTGCGTACAAAAGTGGCCAAAGCGTTCATGTGCTTTTGTGAATTTCCAGTCGCGACAACGATGTAGTCCACGTAAGCGTACTCCTTGGGAACGGAAGCGACAAAGATGTTCTTTGCCTTATCTCTTTCCAGTAACTCAACAAGGTGATCGATGTCGAATACTCCAGTAACACCATCTAACATATACACAATTTGATCGTTACTACAGCCATCATTTAATTCCTTAATAATTTCATCATCTTTTATTAATTAAAAATAATATCATATATAATATTCATATACCATATATTTTATTAATATAAATTATATACTTAAGTACATAATTTCTTAAATATTTATTTTCTTATAAATATAACAAATATAATCATATTAAATTTGTAACAAAATTTAAACAATTTCATATCTTTGTTAAAGAAAATTCAATTTGTTACATATAATATATTATCAATTTATTACATATAATAATTATATACTATACATTTTCTTAATATAATTACCCTGGTGAAAAGTTTTCTCATAATATTTATACGAATTAAAACATTTTTCAGAAATACTTAGAAATATTTGGAAAGTTTACATCTCTCAGAATTTTTTATACAAGTGAATTTTGAAATATGCTGAAATTTCTCATCTCATAATTTTTAAAAAGTATTTTAAAATTTTTTAGTTTTTATAACATTCATCAGAAATTATACTTACAAAAATCTTAAAATTCTTACGATATTTCATAATTAACATATATGAAAAATTTTGAGAAAGAATGTAGATTTTCTAAGAAATGTTCCAATTTGTATAAAAAATATGAGAAAGTTATAAAAAAAATTATAGAGAAGTTCTGAAAAATTATATGAAAAATTTTGAGAAAAATTTTCATCAGGGTATATATATAAATATATATATAATTTCTTACATATATACTTATATATATATATATATATCTTCCTTAAAAATATTTTAAATATAATCATATTAAATTTATGTTTCATTTATCATTGTTATTATATTTACATCTACACTTTATTGTTATTGTACACAACCACTCTCTAGTTGGTACTCCATTTCTACTCACGCTCCAGATTTATATCGGTGTAAGGATCATGAACTTTCTCCTCCTGCTTGTTCAGGTCCTCAAGGAGGATCTTTTGCTGCTCCTCGCTCACGTCAAGAATAATCTCAGCGTCTTCATCGTGAAATACTTTGTATTTTATATTCATAGCACCAGCGAGGTTATAATCGGTGTTCTTGCTCGTGTCATCTTTTTTGTCCTTGTGGTCGTTTCCCATGTCGCTCGAGAACCTCTTCGTCAATTTTAGCCATGAATACGTTAACGATCGTGATGTATGATTTCCGGGAGCTTCACGCGACAATCGCCGTATGCTTAGCAGGTTCCTCAGGATGCACGAACGCATGTTGATTTCGAAAACTTAGGTTAGGGTTAAGCCGCGATGTCGCCGCCGGCTGAGGATATTAGATAATTTCATAATTTATGATTATCATCCCAAAATTATAATGTATATTTAATGTAGTAACTAATTAAGATCAAGCTTGACCGTTAAAGGCTTTTATTCCTTATTAGTTGTGTAATAAATATAGATAATTACAAGTAGATAACATATCCTATTATTAAGTTTTTGGAAATGTTTTTAGCTTATATACATATATATATATGTATAATCTCACAGAGTTCATATTTTATAAAGATATTCTTGTATTATACACACGTATATATTTATAGGCAGATTTTTTCGACATTTTTTATCAACTTATGCAAGCAAAGTAGAATTTACAGACAAATGAAACAAGTATAAAATAGATAGTTTTGTACCAAGAATTTTACAAATTCGCATCAACAGGCCATTTGTTCTAAGAAATTCGGTTTTCTAGCTGAACTTTTTACATAGTTTATTTTTTCTTTTTTCCTCTTAAATGTAAAAAAAAAGGAAGACAGCTAAGATTATCATAAAGGAGAAAAGGAAACATATTGGGATGAAATAGAAGCCTCCAACTAAATTCTGTCTTGAGTAGTTGATATATTTAACCAGACAAGATTTACAAATACAAAATTTTCTCAATGCGAAAAACGTGTCCATCGAAGATTCGTCTCCCAGGGATTTTCAATCAATTAGGAGCGTTCATCGAATGGTGAAACGTCGCAGGTCTGTTCTCCCCACAGCTAAAACATAGAAAATAAGAATGGTATAAAAATGTTAAAATAGCACAACTACAATTCGTCAAATACATATATAAAATGCACACCTATAGAGACTGTGGAAAAAACTGCTTATTTAGACCTCGCACGCATCTTCCTCCTCTTACGCTTTAGCCTCCGCATCCTCTTTTTACGCCACTGTAAAATAAACACATAGTTATCTTTTTCTGAAGTTTACAGTGTCTGCAATTCAAACATACAGCACATATTTCAGCAATATTGCAATAACGTAGTAAATGTTGCTAGAAATTCTATGAGATATTTGGTCTGTTCTTTCAATTTCCTGCTAATCGTTAATTTTTTTCTTCTTTTTTTCTCCAATGAGAACAGAAGATGAATGTAAAAATTTCAGGTGAAAAAACTGACTTCTGGATCGATAACGTATCGCGTCGATTTTCTAGGCCAATCTAGGAAATGGAAGTTGAGGTTATGTATAATAGCACAAGAAAAGGACATAAAAAAACGCATTAAGTGCTGCTAAAAAGATAATTACGAGCTTGGGTTAATCATCAAGGTTGTTATTACGACGCGAAAACATTCGCGGCGTTGGCGTCATGTCAACAAAATTAATCGGCATGCCCAAGCGAAGGCCGCGGTGTCTCGTGAATTTTGCGCGGTGAAATAATCGCATATGCTCGAGGAACGCAATAATTATCAACGAGAGTCGATGACGGCTTACCTTAGCTCTCATCTCTTTCTCTAGACGACTTTAGATCAGTTCGGAATAGCTGGATTACTTCGGATTTCGAATCAACCACGTCCGAAAGTTTCTCGAGATAAAGTGAACGACGCAGAATCGGTAGAACAGAACGAGGGCCGAGGCACGGAGGATGGAAAGCGAATGCGCATGCGCATGCACGGCGATGCGTCATTTGACGCGCGCTCGTGTGCGGTAGCCAATAGGAGAGCGCGCTTTGTTGGGACTTTCCTCAGTGGCGTTCAAGTCTCCAGGAAAAGCGCCTCTCTCATTGGTTGTGCGAAATTTCGTGAACATAACGAACTATAGCATTTAAATTAGGGATGGGCGACATTTTTTATCGATTATACAAAAATCGATGTTTTTCCCGTTCAATAATCAATGCTTGATTCGATGTTTCAGAGGTCGATTGATCGGCACATCGATCTTTTTTTTAATGACATCGATTATGGTTGGCTCTCATTGATCTACCCAAAGATATAACTACCCTAGAGTCCTAGATTTATTAGAGACTAGAGAGACAGTCCCTAGCAGGCGTTTAATTAATTTAAGAAACAATTTTCTCGTTACTAGTAAATATTTTTGGTAACCAAGAAATTGCTTTCCGGAATAAAAATTATATTTTATAAAAAGTAATCAATGTACGATTTCTAATACTCATGTCATAAATTTCAGAAAAATGTTCTCTTATTAACAACAATCAGATTCAAGTAATGACATTTATTAGATTTAACGAAACAATTTTCTACTGACAAGTAATTGTGTTTTTATTAGAATAAAATATTTTCTTTATTGATAAATTATTTGCTTCAGGATAATATTTTATTGGAACAAAAAACAAATTTATTGTGGCAAGTAATTAATTCTTTCAATCAATAAATTACAGTACAAGAAAATGTGTTTACAATTAAAACAAGTAAATTTTTTTTTCTGTGGAGGTACATAAAATTGTAGATACTCTATTTTTTCTTTTATTTTGTAATAAAAATCATTTTAAAAATAATAATTCAATATATATTTCTAAAAATTGTAATAAAAAATTTAGCAATCAGTTTTTTTTTAAATCATCGATTTTACAACATCGATGTTTTCTTCTACGATGAATCAGTTAATCAAAAATCGGATTGGATCGTAATAGATTATTATAGAATCGATGCTTTTCTTGTACATCACCCATCCCTAATTTAAATCATTCAAAATGATATTTAAATCATTTAAATCATTCTAAAGCATTTGAATCACTTGGTGTTTTGTACTGAGAAACTACACAATGTATAGCGAATAATTTTTTGCATTTTCGTGTATTTTTACTGCGTTAATATAATTTGTTTACACTTCTTCAGAGGACATCACTTCAAGTTATATTCGTCAAATTCTAGAATATATATTTTATATGCGGTGTAAAATATCATGGTTGTTCTACAAATGTGCTTTTCGTTTCCTACTTCTTACCGTTTGTCTCTGTTTGTCTCTTGCCTTTTTTGATCAAGAAGGCAAGAGACAAACAGCAAGAAACAGGAAACAAAAAGCACATTGTAGAACAACCATCATATAGAGCAGAAAAATGTCGAAAAATGTGATTGGTTTTCTGAACAGGAACAAGAAAAGAGCTTGATGAAAATCGGTAAGTTAAAAAATGATAATTTAATGATAATTTGTGATTATTATTCACATATCCTTTACTTTAATTAATTAGAAACACAAATTATTTTCCCATATAACTTAAATTATAGCAAGAAAATGTTTTGTGATTCAAAATTCATACTTTTTAAATTCTTTTTATGTGGATTATAATCAATTACCAACAGCAAGAAACTTTAAAATTAAAAAGAACGGAACTTGAGCGACTATTTTCCTTCTCAGAATAAATTCTGCGCATGAAAATACACAAATTTACAGGAAAGTACAGGAACATTGAAAGTGTCGTAATGAAATTGTCGTTTCATTTTATTTTCCCTTGTGCTCCCCACTTTTACGTTCCATCGTTCGGAACGCTCGTACTGGACCGACAGACGGCGTGTTCCGCGTTCCGCACTTGTTTTCCCGCCCGTTTAAAGCCCATCCCGCCAAAACTGCAGTCACAGCTGAGGTGCGCGGGATGTGTTCGTCGCTTGGCAAATGACGTGTTTCGTCGTGAATTCGGCGGACAATCGCTCGTTAACGTGTTAATCGCTGACGTCGGCAAATCCTCCAACGATTCGCTAACGAATATTTCGGAAACTTTCGATAACTTCAACGTAGCAGTGACTCACACGATCAAGTCGAAATCATTGCTCTCGAGGTTCACGAGGACGTCGTCAAGGAGGGCAGAAAATCCCAAGAGAGTGCGTATAAATTGTATTAAATCTCATTGAATCTCCACCATCCTGTTTACAGACTGTCTGTGGAGTTGACTAAAAATTTAATTCAAAATAATAAGAACAATATTTGACTTTATTACAAAATTTATATATCTATGACAAAGTCCACATGTAATTAAACTTTTTACCTTTTTAGAGTCAGAAGCATTCATCTAAAAAAAAGAAGGGTTTGTTGATCCTGCGTTGCATCCCTTTCTGTGTTTGGTGACAGTTTTCATTAAAGAATTATTGACGAAAACAATGTCGGGCAAGCAGACTATCATTTCTTTTCCCATACGGAAGAAATCTAATTTTTATGGTCGCAAGGAGGAAGTCAAGGAGGATTTCACGAATGCAACGGCAAAGGATACGCCGTCAAGATATATTCCAACCGTTAAGAAGATTGTCACTTTGACCAGCAGTGAGTCTGAGTCCGATTCTGATATTGAGAATACAAAGGAGAGGCACAAGGTAACGAGGGAAAGAAGAACTGAGAATGCAGGCCATACTCCAAGGCGACGAAAGTGTGACGACTTGAATGGTAAATTTATACAGGAGATATTATTTCTTACTTTATTTAACCCTATAAAGCTGACGCCAAAGGCTGTTTTTCTTTTAGGAGACACAAACGTCGTTTTATCTTGGCATTTAAAGAATAAGCATAAAAGGCATAAAAGAAAGAATGATACTTGTGTTGGCTGTGTCTGTCTTCTAAAAGGAAAGTCAAAGTCTGTAATACAGTTACTAAGGTTGTTCCATTTAACTGAATTTTTTAAGTCATGTTTCCTCTTTTCTTTTGCAAAGGAACTGTGCTAATTCAAATAAAAAAAACACTGGGTTTGTGAGATCCATTTGATATACAGGGTGTTTGATAATTAATGAAAAATCTTTTGCATAGGGGCAAAATGGACTAAACTGAGAAGAAAAGTCCTCTACAATTTTGCAATTTTTGCAATAGTTAACAAGATATTAATTGCTAAAAATTGCCGAAAATTGATTTTCAATAATTTTTTACTCAAAAACTATCAACTTTACAGAAAAACTGTAAAAATTGTTTATTTTTTCTCATAAAGTTTTGAGAATTTTTTTAGAATTTTTTAATACCATATTTTCTCATGTTGGTAAAAATAAGGAAATGCAATACTAAAAAGTTGATAAAAAATTCTGAAAAAATTCTTAGAGCTCTATGAGAATATATAGTAAACAATTTTTGTCTCGCAGGTTTTCTGTAAAGCTGGTAATATTTGAGTAAAAAATTATTGAAGATTAATTTTCGACAATTTTTAGTAATTAATATCTTGTTAACTATTACGAAAATTATAAAATGGCAAAGGACTTTTCTTTTCAGTTTAGTCCATTTTGCCCCTATGCAAAAGATTTTTCATTAATTATCAAACACCCTGTATGTTAATTAATAATTTTGATTACAGAATTGTTGGTAAAAATGATATCTGAATTGTTTTCACTCATAAGAATCTTTGTTATCAAAATAATCATTGCATAGTAGGTTTAATAGGCTCACTTTAATCAACTCTGGATTAAAAGTAATAATAACAAAATTATTTTGTAGGCAGACTGTTTCACAGTTGTACCTTTTTCGCGACTTATGATAATTATGCAATATAATTTCGCTTTACACACGTAGTAATTATATTGTAGACATTTGTATTTTGCATAAGTTTGTTGTCAAATTATGAATTATGTTGTATTTCAGAACAACACACTCCTAGCCCACCAAAACAGAGAAGAGATAAGCTGGAGTCTTCCTTAACGCCGTCCACTCTTCTCAATAGATTAATTCTGTCCCCTAAGAAAGAAGGCAGATTAGCTCCCAAGCAATTATTTGACTCTTGTCTCTCCGAAGAAGAGGACGAGTTAATTTCTAAGTCAGTAGGATCCAACAAATATCAAAATGCGCGTAAATCATTGCATGGTTCCGTAACGGACAACTTACCCGGTAGAGAAGAGGAATTAACTAAGTTGCAGAAATATCTTCTTGAACATCTGAATCAAAAAACGTCGGGCTCTCTGTACATTTCTGGCCCTCCGGGCACCGGTAAATCCGCGTGTCTGTTCAAGATCATGCAACAGTCGGATGTAAGATTGAAATTCAAGGTAGTCTACATTAATTGTACCAGCATGAAGTCCGCGACTGCCATTTATGCTAAGATAATTCAGGAACTGTCCATACCCGGCATGACAAAGTCGGGAAAGAACAGCAAAGCTATTATAGAAAAATATTTAGTATCTAAACACAAGACGCTGCTCCTGGTGCTGGATGAGATAGATCAGTTGGAGAGCAAAAAGCAGTCTGTGCTGTATTCCATATTCGAGTGGCCTTCCAAACCGAATTCCAAGCTGATCCTCATTGGGATCGCTAACTCTCTGGACCTGACTGACAGAATATTACCCAGACTGCAGGCCAGATGCGAATTGAAGCCGGCATTGATGCACTTTGCCCCATACTCCAAGCAACAGATATTTGACATAATATCCACGAGACTGAATGAGGCAAACGCGACCAACGTTTTTACTCTGCCTGCGATACAATTCCTCGCGAGTAAGGTAGCTGCGATTTCTGGGGATATCAGGAAAGCCTTGGATATTAGCAGGAGAGTAATCGAACTAGCTTCATCGCATCAAGTGGCGCAGGTGCTTCGTCCAACGAATGATAACGGTAATTAATATTTATGCGACACGATATTAGGACAATGTAATATCAATAAAAAAATGATATGAATGAAAATTATATGAATGAAAATGGATAATTGATAATTAATATAAATAAAGAATAATAGACACAATATGTAGAAAATTTAATTTTCTATTTTTAATCTAGATACAAATATAGAGCTCTCAAAGAAGGAAACTGAGGTAATAGAAAAGCCCGTTGACTTGAAGGAAGTGGTAACAGTTCTGAATGGAGTCTATGGAGGCATACAGAATCTCAGTAACGAACAGGATACAATTCCTCTTCAACAAAAGTTGTTAATTTGCTCTCTATTACTTATCCTTAATAAAGGGAAGAATAAGGACATCACTGTCGGAAGAGTAAGCTCATTAAAGTCACATATTATATATCATAGTTAAATATTTAAATATAAAATTATAATAATTATATTCAAATGTAAAATTAATAATTTAATTTGGTTCATTAAATTTCAGTTAAATTTATAGTTGTATAACAAATTGTATTGTTATTTTTTCAAACAATGTTTTATTCCTTACAGTTGTATGAGGTGTACAGAAACGTTTGCAAGAAGCGTAACATATCCGCTGTCGACACTTCTGACTTTGTAAACATGTGTTCATTGGTAGAGACCAGGGGTATTTTGCGAGTTGTCGGCAAGAAGGAGGCACGTTTGTGCAAAGTAAACCTGCAGTGGGATCAAGAGGAGTTGGATGCAGTCTTGCAGGACAAGCAAATGATGGCTGATATAATTAACGACGCAAATTGTTTGTAGAATAATTAGAGAAATTTAATGTTACACCGTTTTGTTGATCTTAATTTATTTTATAGATCCTTTTATATTTTGTATGTGTATATACTTTAACGTATCTTGAGGTCGTTACCAATTGACTTTTGCATTGTAATCAAAGCATAATTTTTCTATATATCACTCTTTTAAGAGACAAATTTTAACGTTAGCATTAATGTTAATTTGGACATTGTTATTATATCGCATGAGACTGATTGTATTTGACATACTGTGCATTTTATACAGTGTTGAATCTTAAAATTTATACAGAATGTACACGAGGCGTTTAATAAAGTAAATTGAAATATATATTTTTGATAATTGCAAATATAACGTTTAAGTATAAGCATATTTATGTGTATATTAAATAAATCGAAGTTTAATTCTTTCGCCAGCGTTTTTCCATTATTTTTATATTTGAACATATATGAATACTGGAAAGATAAAAAAAAGGTATTACATTGATGATTAATTCTATGTTTTAGATTTTAGATGCATCTTTTCCAGAATAATGTTACGTGAATGAGAGATTAAATTAATCAGGTATATCGTGCTCCCCCGCAATTCATTACGTTATTATCCAGTCCCGTCAAATTCCGGTTATTAAATTAAGTTAGCTTTGTTTCCTAGGTCGTGTTGAGAAATTAAGAATCCCACTGTCCACGTAGTCAATTTGGTCTCTGCGTTTTGATTCCGCGATTTGCTCCTCATCCAGTTGTGACATCTCAAGTAAAAAAAAAACAGATAATTCATAATAATATTATGAAGACATCATCATGATCATGGTTGTCATTAACATAAGTTTTTTTTAAGTATCTAATGATGACATCATGATGACGTCCTGTGATATTGTAACTTTATGATGACTCTGTCCCAAAGAATACACAGAAGTCAACAAAAAAAAGCAAAACGTTAATTAATTTTCATTTTTAACATTAATAAACAGTCAAATTTGTAACAAAATATCATTATTTTGACTTTCATGACGTTAAAATAAAGTCGTTTTAAATTTCTCTTGACTTGGTGTGATAACTTAGGACCCAAGCAGAACAACATGTCATTATGATATTAAAGTATTGTCAAAATGATTTCAAAATAACTATTAAAAGTCATTTTTAATCGTTTCGGATTCATTTCAATGTCATTTTGATGATTAATTGTTGTTCTACTTGGGGTTTGATTAATTGGGGTTCTACCTGAAATCCCAAGTAAAACAACATGTCACTAATATGTAGAAATTGCCTGTCATTTTCATAAATAAATAGTTGAAGGAAGTCGTAATAAAGTAAGCAGGAATGCGTATTTAGATGAAGTTTGAGATATCGTAGAAAAAATGATTGAGGGAAAGAGAGAAAGAGAGAGAGAGAGAAAGTTATTTTATTTATTACATAAATTAAACATTTTATAAATAATTTATATAGCTTAGAAAAGATATATAGAGGTTAATTAGAATTAAAAGATATATTTAAGTTGAAAGTGATTTCATTAATGAATATTAAGTAATTATAGAGAATTATACTAGAGAAAGTAATGTAAATAAATATAAATAAAGTATATAAAAGTAATTTTAATTACTGATTAATTAATTGATGAAAACTTTTACAATTTCCTCTCTTCCTTTTTAATCACTTTTTATAATCTAATTGTTACTTTCTGGTTAATTCTCTAGTTCAATTTTAAATTCAATGAGTTTTGATATTAAGTTCGACGAGTTTTTCTATGAATATCGGATTTTCACGAAAGACTGTTCCGATCTCTGAACTTGTCTTGACGTTACAGCATAAATTTCTTCGATACGTCTTCACTCGGGCGAAGGTCTTCGTTACCCTATTAACAAAATCGATATTAGTTCAGTACATAGTATGCAAAATAAACGTCAATGTATCTATATATATATATTTATTACGATATAAAATACAAGTATGCGTCTGACGGCATCGAACGCAAAATCGAATCGAGAAGCTTTTTTTACTCACTCTAACAGCGAATTTGATTGGACGCATTCAATGCGCACTGATGTATGTTACACATTAAAGCCATCGTACACAAATTGACGTAAATATATGTGTTTATTATAAACACAGAAATCGATTAAGCGCAGTGAAATACTCAATACATTTTATTGTGCTGTTAGGTAAAATGTGTGGTACCATGATTCAAACTCCATGGTGTTGAATCTACACCCTGCGTTGGTATTTATATTAATACCAACATGGTGAGAATTATATTTAAAATACTTATGATGATAAATCCATACCCATATTTTTTTAGAATATTTAGATAGTATAGAAAAAAATACTTTATAATTCGAAATATTTGCATTTCACGTTCAGGACAAATCAGTATACAACGGCTTTAATATGCACCAGTGCGCAATAGTGCGTCCAATAAAAGTCTCATGAGATCACTCGAGTGGATCGGACGTGTGTTTCATCTCGTTTCGAGTGTTACGTTACCTCGATTATATTTTTGAAAAACGTGGCCAGCTTCAACTATGCATTTGCATTGCACAATTCATAGTCCCTTCATTCGTCTGGATGCGCGTCGTAGTCGCAGGCGCCCAGTGTATGAAGGAGCGCTTTGCCATTTCCATTCCCAGCAAACACAAAGTTACATGTAACGTACTCGTTAGTTGTAATTTCCCACTCAACAATATAACTGCAATATAACGCACGTGTTATATTATAGTTAAATTGTTGAATGGGAAATTACAACTAACGGATACGTTACATGTAACTTTGTGTTAGCTGGGTTTTGATTGCATCATTCTCTTGTTAGAGGTCTGCCCGGTTCCCAAGGAGGACAAGAAAATCAAAATTATGTCAATTTGACGTCATATTGAAGAGATTTTCATCATGACCAAGGAATGGCATAAATTCGGACAATATGATGTCAAATTTGTATTATTTTTATTTTCTTGTTCTTTTTGGAAAGTGTTTTTCACCATATTGGTATCATAAATACCAACAGGGTGTGGATTCGACACCATGGATTTTGAATCATAGTATTATATGTATAAATTCACATTATGTTTATATCAACACCAACACGATGGGTTATGGGAGTTATGAACATATATTGGTTCCGCATATAGTACCAAATCTACACCCATATTTTCTATGGCGAATTTGATTGGACGCACTTCTTCTTCTTCTTCTCGTTTTATTGGTCCCGCAACTTAATCGGCTGATATTGGACCATCATGATACTACATACGTAGTATATAAATTCGCATAAGAATCATACAAGCATTAAGATCCAGCTAGACCGTTTAAGGCTTTGATTCCTATAGTTTATGTTATCATATATACGGTCCTATAATATGTTATATTATATTATCTATTATTACTGTCTACTATATCAAATATTTACGTTACACGGCGTTATATGGATATCGATACGCATCGATATCGTGTCAGTCGATGTGGCAGTATATTCGAAATATAATAAATACATTTCAACATAAATGCGTCTGTTTTGCAGCTCAATGCCTCAACATGTATCTTGTATACATATACTCATAATATACAGTTTGGCCAAAAATATTAAGCACATTATTAATTAAAAATTTTAACTTACAAATTAATTTATGATGTTTGCTATATATTGTCCTTCGCGCGAGTTTCAAAAATTTTTTATAAATTTATGTATAATTTCGGTAATCAACAGATAATAATAAAGTTCAAAGGAATATAGACGAATGTAAAAAATATAAGTTCTAATTTTGGCCAAAACTACACATACGCACACAGTTGGAAAATTTGTTAAATATAATATCTCAAACATCGGTCCATTCAAATTTTTGTGTTAATTTACTTCGAGATAAATATTAGGAAGTAACACAAATATTATGCAAAAAATTAACAGAAAAAATACGACTACACTGGCACAATTTGTAAGGAAATTGTAGAAGCATATTTCTTCAGTAAAACGTATTAAATTATATATTTATAATATATTAAATTAACTTATCACATTTTATTCATTTTACTTAGAATTCAAGTTTTATAATACATTATTTTTATGTTATTTGTTTACTTACTCTCTTATAAATTATGTTATTTTATATTAAAAGAAATACTGAATATCAATTTAATACAAAATATTCAAATAACACAATCCATTATATTAAATTATTATCACTCGATATGATAAAAATTAAACACAAAAATTTTAACAGGAACTGAGTTAATACAAAAACGATATTCTTTACGGCATACTTGATTATCGCGCAATTCGATATCATTAATGTCATTCGGACGATCGCTGGAATCCATGGATGCAGAAATGTCCTTCAGCTCTTCTATTACCTGTAACAATTTCGGGCTGTAGAGCTTCAGAAGCTCCAGCTGTTCCTTTGCGCATCTAACTGCAACAAGTAGTCGTATTGTTTATTTTGAACATCGATATTCTTACTTATATCTTTTCGAACAGAATTTTTGAAAATTTTTGAAGAGCACTCACGAGCTAACTTCGACGCTTGTTCGCATTTGATTTTTAGCTCCATGTTCATTTTAGTGACTTGGCGGTTTAATTCCGCCCAAGATATCGGCCTGTCAGGCAATAGAGATGACTGATCCTAATTAATAATATATTAAATAATATATTAAATTAACTTTAACTAATTTTATTTATTCTCTCTCTCTCTCATATTAAAATTTAAGTTATAAAAAATATATTATTTTTTTGTCATAATATGTTATTTGTTTACTCACTCATAAATTGTTATTTTAATATTTGAAAAAAATTGAATATCAATCTAACTATAAAATATTTAAGTAAGACATTATATTAAAATATCATCATTCGGATATTAAAAATGCAGCACAAAAATTTTAACAAAGATCGGTTTTAACACAAATATAAAATATAGGTTTGTCGCGTTGCATGCTCCAATATGCTCCAATTTTTTTCTGTCATAGCTCCTACTTACTCCAATGCGTTCATTAGATTAAGCAGGAACTGTAGCAGGAGCATATTGGAGCATTTTAGAGCGTGCGGCGCGAATAAACCTTATGTTTTACTGTATACCTGATCCTTATTAAGATCCATCATTCGCTAATTTGCTCTCCCGATGAAGCTAATGCGAAGAGAAATCTCTCACCACGGTAAGAACAACGGTTTTCGGCGTTTTTCGTTTTTGCGAGGATACAGTTTCCTTGCCACCGATAGTGTCGTTATAATTCGTAACGGCTGCGTTCGGCGGACTAAAATAAACAGTCAAAATTTGAACGCGTCAACGTTGGCTACGTTCACGGACTCAACAGTTGAGTGAGCGTTCGTTGCTATTGATGTATTCTTCCAGATCTAAAATGCTGATTGGATGATCTAAAAGAAAACATCAATAACAGCGAGCACTCACTCAGCTATTGAGTCCGCCGACGTTGACGCTTTCAAATTTTGACTGGTTATTTTAAATTTTCTTTTTGACGCTTTAACTCTTGTACTTTAAACTATTACAATAATTCTCTGTTCTTACATTCAAGATTTCTCAAGATTTAAAATAAAGATGACACCAATACTTCGTATGGATTGACAAATTTATTCGTAAAATCTTATTGCGCATCTCCGCTCGCGCTGACTCTCATTAATTCAGATTTAGTTCGTTTTTTTGTTATTTTAAAGAGAAAACGTTAATGTTAAAATGGGAAGAAACCTGTGGGAAAAAATAATTTTTATTATGGCAAAAGATAAAATCTAATTCAGTATATCGAATAACTGTAGAAGGTGCTATATCGAGAAAAACATGAAGAAGGGTTTACCGTACTTCGTATGCGTTCCGAAATAAGCCGATCTTCACGTATTATGCGAAATAGACCGCTTTTCATTCATTTCTTGACAGAAACCTTTCTTCGTGTTTTTTCGATGTAACACTTTCTACAGCTCAGACGTCAGTCGACATTGTATGTATACATACATACCAAACAAATACAATTAAAAACACAAAAATAAGTAAAATAATATCTACAATTCAAATAACCGCGGCATTAACATGGCGGCATGACGTCATTCGCTCATTTCACTCACTGACGGGGAGAAGCACGCGGGTCGTTCGATTTCTCCGCGTTCCCGTCATTATTCTCTCAAACAGAACGAAACATCGTGACATCAAAATGGCTTCAAAATGATTACTACGAGTCACTTAATTTCCAGTCGGTCACGATTTATTTCGACGTCATTCTAACATCTCTGACGTTACACTATCGTGATCCGTCGTTCTGTCCTGGCTCGAGTCTGCGCGACGTGACGCAACGTTACAAAACGGCGCGTCGCGGTTATGTCACAGTGCGTCACGGCGCTTCGCTTCACCGGGGTGCCGTGGCCTCTAGGCCTCTAGCGTATCAAAGTCCGCGCGAAGGCAATAGTAGGGATCGAGGGTAGAGTCAGTTCGGCCCGGACGATGCGAGAACGCCGCGGTATTCGGACGGTTGCCGTTGTCACCGCCGCTGCCGATCGCGAGAAGTCGCCAGTCCCGTAGACCGCGACCTCCCATGGTGGCGATCACCACGTGTCACGCTGCCGCCGCGACGGCCCTCAGGGCCGTCATCCTGGGCGCGCCGGCGTCTGGCAAAGGCACCGTCTCCTCCAGAATCGTCCAGCAGTTCGGCGTCGCGCACATCTCCAGCGGCGACAGGTTGCGCTTCCACGTGTCTGCCGGCACTGGTACGTCGTCGTCGTTGTCGTCGTTGGTATTATCAGCGTTGGCTTTTGCCCTGAATGTTTCAAATTGTATATGATGTAAACTTTACGTCATATTGCTTTCAACTGTTTCATGGTAAAAGCTCTACCTTGTAAGGCTTTGAATAGTTCCTCTTTACTTTTCGTTATATCATTGATATATGTGATAAGATAATGTACAGTGAATTTGTGTAAAATTTTCCAAGCAGAACAACAAAGTCATCATGACGTTAAAATGATGTTAAAAGTAATTTTTCAATCATTTATGATTGGCGTCATTGCGACTTATTGTTCCATTTGGGAAATTGATTTTTTTTTATTTTACATTAATTGTGATTTTATCGTTAACCTAGTTTCTATTGTCCATATTATCGTTAATTTCAATATGTGTTCGTAGTTGATCGATTTCGTAAATATGAAACTTTGTTATTATCACTCTCGCATCGTTATATAATTCAAAAGATGTTCGATTAGCGAATATCAATTAGCTAATTTTGAAAACATGTCTTGGTTCTTATCCATTTTGATAAGATATATTACTCGCGTTTAGTCTTATCTTTAATACTATCGCATTGTCGAAAGAATTTTAATTCCGTCAATATTCTACATCTTTCAATCTTAATCACGTTCGATCAATTCCGTGTAAACTCCGATAACACGTACGTATGAATTGAAAACTATAATCTCGATAGAGTTTTTTTACTGTCCGTCTTTGATTACATTTTTCCTGTTTTATTAATGTTGATAGATTGTAATGCATTAAAAATATTAGTAATATAAATATATATTTTATATATAATTATATAATTTTATATAATTATATATAAAATATATATTTATATTACTAATATTTTTAATGCATTACAATCTATCAACATTAATAAAACAGGAAAAATGTAATCAAAGACGGACAGTAAAAAAACTCTATCGAGATTATAGTTTTCAATTCATACGTACGTGTTATCGGAGTTTACACGGAATTGATCGAACGTGATTAAGATTGAAAGATGAATATATAAACTATTTTTTCTGAGGTATATTATATACTTTCCAATCAATTAGAGCAAAGCGATCGGTGACTGCTTTTCTCTGGTTAAAAAGTAATCGCCAATCGCGCTAGATTACAGCTGTATATGTGCAAATCTTAGAATTACATAAAGTAATTCTTGAATAGTGCTTAAAAGATTGTGATTTATCGTTAATTTTAAAAACACCCCCAAATGTGATATTTTCAATATTATAACCAAATTTTCGCGATTATTATACACAGTATAATTCATTGAAAGAAAGTACTACTCCCGTTGATGAAGTGTCTTCAGAGAATCCAGTAAAAACATTAACAGCAACACAACATCAATGTTATTTTACACTCAACAATATAAATATAACATTACATATGTTGTACGCAACAGTTACATTATTGAATGTGAAATTATAACATTGACGTTATAATTACTATTAGCTGATATTTACTAGAAAATGTGTCTCATTCGCAGATCTAGGCAAGGAGGTAAGGAAGTACATGGACAGCGGTAGCTTTGTTCCAGACGACACGATGATATCCCTTATCGGCAATGAGATCGAATCGATGGCGGATCGGAATTGGCTGTTGGACGGTGAGTGGAAGGGAAATTATTCTGACCTCGTCACGAGGCCAAGATCGTTCTCTTGAAGCCGTGAACCTGTCGTTTGTGTTTCTAAACGCGAACGAATATCTTGGCAGGATTTCCGAGGACGTTGACGCAGGCGGAGCGATTGCAGAGGCTACATCCAATCAATCTCGTGCTGAATCTCGTGGTGCCCACCACCGTCATACTGGACCGAGTCAAGAGCAGATGGATTCATGTGCCCAGTGGTAGGGTTTACAGCATCGGCTTCAATGATCCACGAGTGCCGGTAATCAGTGCAACGAGTGTATATCTATTTCATTGAAAAAGAGAGCTGGAACAAGCCGAGAGTATAATTGAGTTCGCACTATAATCAATTGATTATTTGGTCATAAGTATAAAACACTTTCAATTTATGACATTTTCTTGGAAAAAAACGGCAATAAAATCCAAAGAAAAATTAACAAAACATTAAAATTATTATAAAAATAAATATTTTTCAATAAAACTTTAAATTTACTTTTTGTTACAGAACGTTTACGTCAATTTGCGCTTTATACCTTCGGCCAAGGCTGTAACACGATAGAACTTGTTATATAATATTTTGATCTATTTAAAAAAAAATGCTAATATCTATATTTCGCTTATAACGAGAGTTGAATATTTCGACATTAATTATAGTTATTTATATAACAATAATAATTTAATATTAATAATTTTGTCGTGTTTTGCAGGGCAAGGACGACGTAACGGGTGAGTCGTTATGTCAGAGAGAAGATGACAAACCAGAAGTCGTGCAGAAGAGACTGCAGGATTACGCGACGAAAACCGAGCCAGTCTTGCAGTTTTATCGCGAGATTGGAATACTGAGGGAATTTCACGGCAACACCACCAACGAAATGTGGCCGGCGATCAGGAATTGCGTGGCACAATACTGTTGAGTTTCAGAGAGATCGAATATTTAAGTAACTTTAAATGTCGGATAATCGCGCAAACGGTTCTGATTTTCAAATATCTAGATCTGTTCGGAAATTTTTTTCTTCGAAATATATCTCTAAAAGAAACAAATTTTTGGACATTAAATCTGCATCTAATTCTTACAACTTATCTGCCTAAGAATTAAATTGTATTAAATATTTACACATCTCGTTAAATTAGATAACGTGCGTTTAAAAATATCCTCGTATTTATTATTTAAGTACGAGAACGAACAAGTCTATTCAGACCTATTTGAGACCTGTAATTTGCTCATCTCACGCGATTTCGAGTAACAAATGGAAATATGCGCTCTCGAACAATTGTTTCCTTATCTTGTGACAATAGAGAGAATGTGTACTACAGCGCAATTCGCGCGGAGCTCTCTTACGCACGCAGGAACGCACACAAGCGTGAATGTAATTAGGTTGTAAATACGCGTGATGTCGTGTCGACAATAATAGGCTTTCGTAGATGTTCTCGATGCGGAATGCTTATGTGATACAACGAGATTTCATGGTAACTAAAGACACTGAACTGAGGACGAGTTATTTCTTGTTTCCGCAACTTAGCACTTGCATGACGAGCTGTTGGTTGCTACAGCTATTCGGCTAAAGTCCAAAATATAGTACAAATTACAAAGTAGGAATGATCGTTCGAATAATCGATGATACATTTCTGGGATGGCGTAATTATCACACACTTGTTCTTATTTTATTTCGAGCGTATAGCGTTACAGTTGTAAGAGATATATATATATATAACAATGTTCAATATATTGTGTACATATTCAACAGTATAAGTACAATATACGCATATACATATGCATATACACGCATGCATACATATACAGTGTGAGGCATCTAAAAAAGTGTACATCTAAATTCTTTAATAATCCTGTTTTTCACTTTACTCTTGTTTTTCTATTTTTAAATCTACCTTACACTTTAGAGAGAATATTCTAGATTTATTTGTCATTCGATCAAGCACCTTGTACGTTATTAAGCGTTATCTTGCTTCTTTAAAATGCTCGAATAATCTTGAAGCGCGAAATAAATGCTTCACTCTAAATCTATTTTCTAAAATTTATTCTACTCTATTGTAAATGTTTCTGCTGTCCCCTTGAAAATATCGTTAAAGACGAAGTAATTTAGCTCGTAAGAATAACAAGAAAGATTCGTTCAAGGTTATAGTTTTTTTACATTTCAAAAACTGCTTTTTTACATAGATATTCTTGGATATCATTTTTTATTTTTGTATCTATAAATAGGTACAGATATCAAATTTTTTCTAAATAAATATTTAGACATACACTATTGGATGCTTCACCCTGTACATACCATGTTCACGTTCCTCAAATCCTTCTTTATTCCTTTTCAAGGCAGAAGAGTTACTCAAGAATAACTCAATTATAAATAAATAAATAAATAAATTAACGTCTTATCGTACTCTCCTTATGAATCACACTTTTAAGAACTGCTACGCTTTATTTGCGCGGATTTTTTACAACATTTTTAGAAAAAGAATTTCGCAAAATATACAATTAAATTTTAATTCAACAATTCAACGGGATTTAACGCATGTTAAATTATTTCAAGACTAACGAAAGTCTTGCAACAATATTGTTGCAATATTAAGTCATATTAGCCATTATTAATGATTAATATATAAAATTAATTTCGAGATTATACGTAACAAGATAAGAAATGTGCATCACCATAATAATTGCATACATATATACATATTAATTGAAAATATGACTGAATCAGCTTAATCGAATAACTTGTACTAACGTCGGAAATGATCTTTTGCTTTCTTATCTCCTATTTCATAAGTAACAGTAACTGGTCATTGAGTTAAAAACTCAAATCCTGTTTTCATTCACGCATTGAGATCGATGGGAATGCGTCAGTCCTCAACTCTGAATGTCTCGTCCTTTCCAGAATGATATATCTGGTTCGCTGTTTTCCTATATGCGCTCCGGAGAAGCGAATATACGAAAAGAAATTACAATCGCGAAATAATAGGCGAACGGGTAGAGACACAGAGATGTTCTCGCGAGAGTAATTCCGATGATCACGGAATCGCGTGCGTGTATCATACTCCCGCGTCCTTTTCGTTCTTCCCTTTTTTCTTTTTTATCTTAGTGCAACAACTCGAACTCCTCGCACTCGAACAGATCGTCCTCCACGCTCTCATGACCGAATCTACTTGAAGATGGCAGAAGACCCTCGATGACCTCAATTCCCTGCTGCAGATCCTTGCCGCTTCCCTCGCAGAACAGAAACATCGGATAGTCCATATTCTGGTTCGGTATCACGAACTGCAACGTTAACGAAACATTTTAATTCGGTACAAAGTAGAAACCTTTTTTTATTTTATCCTTTATAGATATGCTTATATTTGAATTATTTTTTGTCTCCAATATGTAAAAAGTTGAGAAGTATACGGATGATATTTCTTTTTGTTTATTTAAACTGTTATACCTTAATTGAATTCGAATTCAAATTAACAGTATGTTTACATTTACCTGTTGAATTGTTTCCATGAAGTCGGTGAGAGATTCCTTGTCAGGAAAGTAGAAGCCTACGCAACAACTAGGATCCATTTTCGAGAGTAGCATCTTTCTCGGTGACGTGCAGTGGAAACTTGTCAATGGGAATTTTTCATTTCCTTCGACGTCAACGGTCTCCTGAATGTGTGTGTGTGTGAAGAAATAAATCAATAATTATATTTAAAAAATATTTTAATATAATATATTATAGGATCGTATATGTGATAACACAAACTATAGAAATCAAAGCCTTAAACGGTCTAACTGGATCTTAATGCTTGTATAATTCTCTTATATGAATTTATATACTACGTATGTAGTCCCCAGAAACGCGCGCCGAAATGATTTTTCGGTCTTAAAATTAATTATTTACAGATTTTAATATGTAATTCAACATTAAGATCGTTTCGAAGATGCGAATAAGCATCAAAATTTGTTAAATTGCCAGTCAATTTAACTCGTGATATTACTGCGGTAGTTTAATAGCGTTTCAAGACCGTAGTATATAAATTCACATAAGAATCATACAAGCATTAAGATCCAGCTAGACCGTTTAAGGCTTTGATTTCTATAGTTTGTGTTAAAAAATATTTTATATTCTAAGATAAAATCTACTTTAAGAGCAAAATACAAAATAAATCGAAAAAAATGTATGCCTCTCTAACTTAAGGATAAAGAAAATAAAACAAAAAAAATACATGAAAAAAATAACAACTAAGGTGACAAAAATTTGAATATTAAGTAAGGCGAATTAAATATTTCAGACATATATAGATACTTGCTTCCTCAAAAATTGAATGCTACCTGACAATAATGCGGATCCAAGTGGATCAGTTTGTCGTCTTGATAGCCGATGAAATAGAGCGAATGTCGCGGTCGGCCACCGATCACGCCAATACACGTGTCTAATGTCAACAGCGATGTCAAACAAGGTGCGTAAACAGGGTTCAGCTTGTCGGCACCGAGCCTCAAGGGTACTAAGAGTATCAATGCCTTCCGGCCACCGTCTGGAGTGCAGCAAACATTCTCGACATCTTGCATATACACTGAAAAAATGTTCAACAATTGTTAATTTATGCATAACATAAAATGAACTGCAGAATTTCTATTAATTTGCAAAACTTTTAATAAAATTCTCTTCTCTATGAAAAAAATTATTAATATGCTGCTTCTGTATAATTTTTGAATAATTTTGTTTTATATTATTATAGAAAGTTTTATATTATTTTTTAATAGAAAGAGAAGGGATATATAAAATTTTCAACTGCTATTTATATAATTAAATTATTTTTTTTAGACTTTCTTAGATGTAATACGCACAGACTCAAATGTCATGCGTTTTTCCAGTTTCGGTAATTAAATCATTCTTTTATATTGTGCTGAATTCGTTAATACCAACCTGCGCAATCTTGGGCGACGTATACCGCCAACTGATTGAGCTTACTGTTGGGATTTTCGCTGGCGCGTTCCATAGCCTGACACAAAAGATGCGCGACCGAGGAGGGACCGTACCAGTCGCCCGCGCGTTTCCCCGTCGAAGCGCCGAGCGACACGAGCTTGTGTATGGAGAACGGAGATTCTGGCGTTGGTTGATCGCCAAACCATTTGATAATCATCCGATGACTGTTCTCGTCAGTCGATTGTTCTGGTCGCCATCTCCATTCTGCATAAAATCAGGAAATAAATTTATCATTCAGTTTTATATAACATAACAATAATCAGGTCCATGCAAAAGATTCACTGTGTGTTTGTCAAATGAAATCGCGAAAACAAAATTACAATTTCAAATTTATAAGTAAAAATAATAATTTAAGCAATTTTTATTTTAATTTAGAATATTTAAAATTTGCATACTGACTTTGTGTTTAATCTAGAAACAAATTTTCCTATTTTGTACTTTTAAAAGAAAATAAACCAATTATTTTTAAATCTCGTGAAATTAAGAGATCCAGTGCATCTTTTCAACATCGACTAAATTTGAAAAGGAGAAACAATTACCTCGTCCGAGAAAATGACAGACTAATGCTTGCGCCAGCATCATTTGCCCACTGCGTAGCATGCAGCCCCAACCGCAATCCGTGGTAAAGGTGGAGCCGTTTAGAATTGGGAATTCGCGTCTGTATGTTAACCAAAGACGCGACATGAAATCCCTCTTGAATTCCTCTATGGTATTCTCGAAATTCGTGGCATCCATCGCCAAGGAGACCTGACTACCCGTTCCAACTGGCTCTAATGCTTCCGATGCTCTCTCCAAGGGATATTCTGACTTCTTTAGATAACACTGTCCCAGCAACCACACGGGAGATTCCTTAGAGAAGTTCGTCTTCATCTTCACAGTCCAGCCTATATTATAAAATATAGACACTGAAAGAAAAGATTGGCTGCTGCAGCAAATTAGATGGTAAAATATGGCATGCATTTTTACCATCTAATTTTCTGCAGCAGCCAATCTTTTCTTTCAGTGTACCTATGTAATTTGGTAATTATTTCTCGTAATACTTTTTGTATTATTGCGTACAAATTCACCAAATGTCTTTGTTACTAATAAAATAACAATCTAATATTAAGTATAATATTACATAACATAATTATGTAATATTATTTAATATTAGATAATAATATTAAGACTTGTAAGATTTTATAATAATTTATGAAATGTAAATAGTTGTAAAATATAAAATATTTTTTCAATATAAAATTTTTGCTGCAAAACGTTTGATATATATACCATATTTAACATTGTTCCACATAGAGAGCAATTTCGTTTTGACTTTGCTGTCGACTTCCGTCGCGGCCATGGTGTCGTCTAACTCGGCGTCCGAGTTGAATGATTGAATGGTAGGAACACGATCCGTGGCGATCATCCCGGAAAATAATCCAAGATTCACGGGACCGAAACCAGCTACAAAGATATTTATTGTTTTATCTTAAAGGTTATCGATATCTAAAAAAATATTTATTCATACATTTATCTGTTTAATAACAGTAATTTTTTGCCATTTTACCGGCTCTCTCTCTCTCTCTCTCTCTCTCTCTCGTGTTTTCTATATTATTTTTATTAAAGTAAAGGACAACGATAGCAAACTACCTTATAATTTCACAGTGTTAGTTTGACCGTCTGTTTGTAAAGTTTCTAAAAAAAAAAAAAAAAACTTAACTTTTTCAAATGTTTAGCAATGAATACTCAAGGACTTTAACTCTATCGAGGTAAAATATTAAATTAGTAAAAAGGTCAAAAGTCAAAGTTAATGAGATTTTTAGTAATATAGAATAAACCAAACAGCTTAACTTTTTCAAACTTTGGTTTTTTGCTGCACTACTTTATTACATCCGTTGCATTTTGGTTTATTAATTAATAAATTATGTTTTTACGTCATTTCTAATTTCTGTTAATTATTTAAAAAAAATTTATTGCTCTGAATTTCAACCAATGTATTTTCACCTTTTCAGTTTTCCCTTCAGAAACTTGATTGTAAAGAAGAAGAAAATCATGATTTCACATTTTTTAATGAATAATGTGATATGTCTGATCATACTTTCACTTTTCTCCTCCCTTCTTTATCGCAAATGAAAGTATAAAACTCGCTCTTGCCTTTTGAAAGAGGAATTTACCCGTCCCAAATGTTAGCAACTATTATCATCGTCTTGTTAATTGCGTGTCAATTTGAATACTCAGTCTACTGGATACTAAT